CCTCTCAGTTTCAGCTATAATCTGGAAATCTGTGCTTACTCCTTTTGCCAAGGTTAGTGAGCTGTGCTTTGTAAGTTCAAGGGCCCAGCTATAAAGATGCTGCAGTATCCATCCATACCTGCAATGATACTGAATTTGGAGGTTTGAGTTTATGTTGGCCTGAGCTTAGTTATCTGCTTCCTGCTGCATTGAGAGTGAGTTTGGATGCTGACATTGCACACCCGCTGTGCACAGGGATCCCTCTGAAAACCTGAAAAAACCCACTGGCCTGAAACGCCCCACACCATGGGGCCCAGTTCCCCGCCTTGTGCTTTTCTATCCCCATGCGTGGCCAAAACAAAGGATTGCCTGAAAACTCCCAAGACTGCCTGTCAGCAGGGTCAGGGAGACCTAAGGCTGCTCTGGCCCGGTTGGCTTCAGGCCGTGTCCCAGTGGAGACAGCACTGCAAGCCCATCTGCAGGAGCCATTTCAGCCCTACCTGGGCTTGTTTTTCCTCTTGACATCAAAATATCTTAGTGGTGAGCCTTATGCATGTGCCCAGCTGGGTTTTCTTGGTGCTCTTGCTCTTTTGGGATGTCCCCAAACCCTGTGGGGTTCTAGGGGAGGCATGTTCAGTGCAGGAGGCTTCACAGAGCCAAGGGCAGCCTGTGGGGATGGGGATTGTTGGCTCTTTAGTTCCTGGGAGTTCAGAGCACTTGGTGCTAGAACTTGTGCAACGTCTGTAAAACCAACATAAGGAGGCATAGAGTGTTTTCACCCAACATGTGGAGCATTTCCTTGAAAACCTGCCTGTGTAGCTGAAGAGCATGAGGAGTTGTCCTCCCATGTGGGGTCTTGTGGAGGAGCTTGGGTGGCTTCAGGCAGGATTCAGAAAGATGTGCTTTTTTGTTTTTTTCGAGGGTGTATATGACTTACTTAGAGGCCCTGCACTTCTGAAGGGCTTCCGCGTTTTTCGCATCTCTGTCATCCCACACAGTATACGAATACAACCTCATCCGTGTGGGCTTTTTGGTCTGAGTGACTTTCCCAAGGCAACCCAAGAGCCAGCTCTCTCGAGGTTCGATTTAGCAGCTGAGGCTGCAGCCATGTGCTTGGCAGGGGCCAGGTGGCTGCTGTAGGCTGCATTGCCACCTGCTGGGGGCACACAGCCCCTTTCTGAGGCCACCTCCACCCACGCTTCAGCAAGGGGTGTCCCCAGGCCAGCTCCCGCAAGCCTAGTCGGGCTCCAGCATATTTTCTTCGGTGCTTATTTTGGGCAGATCTGCTGCCTCCTGCGCTGTTGGATTTTTGTCTTCAGACATGTCATAACGTTGGAAGTTGTAACTCTCTGGGTTTAGTTTTCCTGGTCTAGGGTACTGGCCTTCAGTTCAAATTTCTTTCCTGGATGCAGCTAAAGGGACATGGGGGACACTTTTGGCCAAAGGGCTCAGCCGTTATGGGCAGGAAGATGTGACAAACCTGTGTTGTTCTTCCCAATGTGAAAAAAATAATGAAAAAAATACAATAAAATCTTTTGCAACAAGTCAACTATATGGGCTGGGACCTTGCTGGCCTGGAGCAGGACTTGTAGTCTCACTGGGATGGGCCACACTGGTAGTGTGGTAACACTTGGGTGTTACCAACAGAAAACTTCACTCAAATTTGGCCAATGTATTACACTGTGGTGGGAAAAACAGGAACAAAATAAGAGGGGAAGGGGGAAAGGTGAGATAGTGGTGCAGAAGGATAGAAGTCAGATGCTGGAGACAAACAAGGTCTGGCTGGCTAACTCATGTAAACGAAGCCCTTTGTGAGCAGCTTTGTGCCCTGCATGGCTGCTTTTCCCACAGATGCTTTTGTGGTATCACATGTGCAATGTGCAACCTTACTTCTCCACCTTTTCCCAGCTCCATGCCTGTCAGATGGGAACAAGGTCCCTGTTGGGGGCAGGAGGCTGAACGGGGGTGTTTGGAGGCCGAGTTGCTCTTCTGCTGTGCTTTTTCCCTATCGACACAAGGAGGGTGTCTGCCACGCTGCAGCCAGCAGCCTGCTCTGAAGTGGTTTCAAAGTGAAACCAGTTGTGCATTAAATGGCTGCAGTGGTAGTTCATAAACTGGTTTGTCAGATGAGCTGTGTGCCTGCTAATGCTGTAGGAGTTGAGGACCCTTCATGGGGGGGAATTTGTTTGGCGAACATAGTATTAGCCACAGATTTAGCATCAGCGCTGATAGCAGTTTGTGGGCATTTGAAAAATTAATGTACAGGAATGGGAAATGAAAGAAGTTGTGCAGAGGCAGTAGTAACATATCTGTCCCCTTGCATTGTCCCTATGTCACCTCTTTCATAGCTGAGGCTACTGTCAGCCCTTGAGAGCTGAAATGACAGCAGGCTCTTGGGAGAGATGCACATCTACTGCTGATGTTTGGTTAACAGTATTTGCAACATTTTTCATCTTACTGATCACATTGGTATACACAGGAGGTGAACACAAACTGAGCCAGGTGGCAATACATTCAAAATGTATTTTTCTACTTATTTCTTGGGAGTATAAGGCACTTGTTTTGGGGGTTTTTTTGGGGTGTGTGTGCGTTTTTTGGGTTTGTGGTTTTTTTTGTTTTTGTTTTTTTTTTTGAAACAGAACACTGCCATGGACAAACATAACCATCACAAAGAACCATGTGTTAAATATCTACGCTTCTGATAAAGTCCCTCTGAGGTAGCTTATTGAAGCAGGAGCAGCTATGTGTTTTCAGGCTTTGTCTTGCTCCCCTTCCCTTCGCTTGGCAGGAGGATGGGTAGAAGTGAGCAGCACCATACCCCTGTATGAGAAAGGAAGGGTAACCAGAGAAACTCTGTACTGTGCTTCTTTCCAATCCTGACTGCTGGACCTCCTCCCTTAAGAGCTTTACCACAAACCTTAACAGAAATGGAAATTATAGAAAACCAGGCTCTACAGGACCTCAAGCAACCTAATTTATACTTGTCCTGGAGAGCAGGATCACTTTTACCCATACCATTCCTGATAGTCTGGTCTTAAAGCCTTTGGTGCTGGACAGTCACAAGCCTCCCTGAAGCAGCCCGTTCTTCCTTCCACTGGGCAGCAGGGTGCTTTTTTGGGAGGATCCACATCCTCTTTCTGGTGGTCAGCACTGCACACAGGACTCTGGTCTCCAATGGAAACCACAGCAGGGAGGATGCGGCCTTGGACAGAGACAGTGCTGCAAAAGGATGTCCTGGGGAAAAAAGCACAGCCTGCGAGGGAAAGCACAGGACTGGCCTCGATGGATTGGAGACAGGGGAAAAATGTGAGACACTCAGCATGGGTGGGAGGCCAGTGAGCCTCCAGGAGCCACCAGAGCGGCTGTTGTGGCATATTTTGATCTCTTCAGCCATAAACCCTGGTCACAAAGCGGCGGGTAAAAATAACCCAAAGCTTGTTTGTTTCAACATTTTTATTAAACAGTGTTCCACTCAGTTGTACACCAGGCCCTGACGATTTCGTGATCAGTGTACAAAGTCTGCACAAATCATCTCCTTTACAGAAGCAGTGCCCAGGAGAAACCCAGGCTCAGAGGTTTTACAACAGGCCACATGTACTACAGGATCCCACCCCCAAACTGTTTGATTAGCCCCATCCTGCTCTCCAGGCTGTGCTGCCTCCTTTCCAGTCACCTCCCTGTGGTGTTTAGGCCCTGTGAATGATCAGGGATGACGACAGTTGAGCCTGTATGAGCTTGAGGCTTCTGACATGGATGCCCAGCCCAAAGCAGACGACTGTCTCTGCGCTTCAAGGCTGTCTTTTGATGAACTTCCAGAAACACGCGATGGCAGCGGGAGGCTGGGCTTTGAGGATGTAGGCAGCCTTCCAGCACTACTTTCTACTCTTGACTGGAGCAGCCCATCCAGGAGATTCTTGAGGGTCTGCCTGTGCCACTATGGCTAGGCTGCCCTGTGTTCAGGCACGTGTGAGCTAGCTGTGTTAGTGTGCCAGGTTTGATCCTCCTGCTTCACTATCGCTGGTGCAGGAGCATGCGAGCTTGGAGGTTGCCTGTGCTGCCCTGCAGCTGCTCCTCGGCTCCTAGGTGGCCTGAGGCCCTCAGCAGCTGGGCCCTAAAAAGATCAAAACCCACATCTTGCTCTTGTGCAGGCTGAGGAGCTGCCCTCAAACAGCACAAAGCGGTACAGCTGCATCAGTAACTTTTACCGTGTTCAGTGTTTAGCTCATGCTCAGTGCTAAGAAAGTGGTTTACCGGGTCAGGTCCCTAATTGCTGCAAATTAGCGTAGCATCAGCTAAGGACGGAAAAGCAGATTTACCCCTGGCAAGTATCTGGTCTGCTTGACAGGTCAAAGCTATTTAACCTAGGGCAGATTTTCCAGTTGGGTAGAAGTTAAGTTTGGTTGTGTATCAAACTACAACAAGCAGTAACAGGGCAAACAAGTGACTCAAATTATCCAGGTTCAGGAAAGCTTATAAAACAAAGCATGTAAACAACATCTATACAGGCAATAGGCTGAACACTGACATAACTCAGTGGAATATATTTCTTTTCCCATGCTTCTGTTGGTGGCCTGGCACCACCTAACACCTATAATATTCATACACAATTTCAAATAAAGACTGCAAAATAAACTTTCAAAGCTAAACAGAAGGGCCCACACTAGCAAGCACACTTAGCTCACTGATTAGACTGCAGTTTTCCATTAGATGACCAATGGACTACTGCAAAGTTTAGTGTAAGATTTCAAATAAGCACAAAAGCTCATGGATTATTTGTCTGTCACTGGAAAAAATGCACGAGAGCTATATATAGCCTTTGCCTTTAAAGCAGACAGGTGGATATTCAGAACAGGGCTTTGGCATGTCAGTTCCAGCTGTGCCACTTGCAATCTGACATTAAAAGTACACATATATATATAAAGACTCCACAGTCCATCATGTTTGCTTTATGTGCAGCAGCCCAGCTACTGAACTGCCTACTCCCTGGGTGCTGAGAAAGGAAACACTTAAAAACAATTTGCAGGGCAATAGTCTCAGTTCTTCATCTTTTCTTTTCCAAAGGCAACTAAATTCCTGCAACTATTTGTCAGCACACAAAAAAATGTAATTAAATGGCCAAAGTTACATTCAATAGAAAACCTTCTCCCAGGAAATGGGATACAGAAAATAGCAAAACTCTATTGCCAACAAAATACCGTGTTATTTTCTCCCTGCTCCCACCTGCAGCCCCACATTTTTAAGAGACACCAGCAAAATCTGCATTCTGTCTTTTAAATATAAACAATGCAATGAGATGAGTAGAAATATTAGAGAACTCAGTACGCCCCCAGGAGGATGGATTTACGTTCAGTTAGGTGAACAGCAATGAGGTTGGAAGAAGGAGAAAGCAGCTTCGAACCGCTTTTCCAAGTGTGGACGGATTCAGGCAGGAAACTGCCAAGCTCAGATTTAGAGTTCAAATGCGGGGAACTTGGCCTTGGTTGGCACCAGCAGGTCAGCAAGAAAGTAAATCGTTCCAGCCATTCCTGACGATAAGAAAACACAATATGCTTCAGAGAGATTCCCTTAGGACACCCACTTTATCAGTTATGCAGGAGATGAATGAGTCATGAAGACAGAAGGAAGGAAAACGTTTTCAGAAGGGCCTAAACAATTTTCAAGGTCTGAGCCCAGGTTTTCCAAGCA